CATCCAAGCAAAGGAATGAATGGAAAATCATGATCGCCGATGTCTGTCGCAGATCTGGCACTGGATGATGATGGTGATGATGATGAATGTGAATCGAGACCTCGGTGGTGAACTAAAAACGAAAGTCCTTTACTTAATCGCTATCCCAGAATTACAAAGTTTTATCTGCTCAGAGCAAAGTTTTGAGAAATTGGACGTCAAAAAGTTTGAGTTTCCCACTTAGTCGATCTTTTTCGAAAGCAATTCTTTAATTACCTTGATAACGGCTCCGAATAATCTTAAGATTTTGATAAAGCAGGTAGAACATTGAGGTTTCTGATCTCATTGCCTTAGTACCTCAAAATGGCCAAATATTTCAGATAGAACTTTGTAATGCTGCCGTAGCGTAATTTCACTATTTTAGGCGGGTGTTCGGCTATTAGGCCCATAGGTGCATGCGGAAGAGGACAAATTTATACGAGGTTTCAATGGGGAGGTGGGGGTAACGCCTCTTTTTTTTACTTTTCCCATCCACTGTTGTCTTTAAGCTTTACGGGAAGCTGCAGTTTTCTATGGTAGGCAAACTCTGTAGCTCCTTCAGTTGAGATGTGTTGGTTTCATATGGTTCTCTTGAGTCCCTCAACTCATCGTTTGTGTGGTCTACCCTATACTCTCGTATACTGAGTACTCTGAGAGTCTAAGGTCTACCGCTTTCATTTATAGCCTTGGAACATGGTGTTATAATAATATGCTCTTGAAGCTGGCTGTCAAATTGGCATTCATAGCAGGTAGCCAAACCATTTTATTTGTTGTTTTCTTTTCCCCATGAAAAGCACGCAGGACCTTGTGTCGAAAGCTGCTCTTACGTTTTCATTTCTCCACAGGTCTCTTCTTGTGATATTAAGTGGTTTTCGAAGACATTTCATCCAGCATGCAAAAACAATGCTTTTATGGGATTTACTTATTGTGCAAGTCGGACATTTAGTAGCACCATAATGTTGGAATAAACATTGAAGTGATACGCTGGCTCATTTTGTCCAAGAGACCTTTCTTTCATCCTTCATTAAAATAACAACTATAGAATATCTCTGTCTGCTAGGGTGAAGTTTCCCGCTCCGCTCGGGGTGGCCTTGATAGGCAGGGTCAAAGCAGCCAGCCACTTTTATAGTTTTAGTAAGGTTTTATGGCGCTTGCAACTGCATAAGGTCATATGAGCGCCAAGGGGTGGATGTCAACAGAGAAGTCCAAACGTGGAATCAGGCTTACTCTGCTCACTTCTTTAGCCTCAACAGCACAAAGTCTGCTTCGACTATCATGGCACCCCAGAAATACCAGTTCTCAAGAGAGTGACAAACATACAAAAGAAGTAGAGGGAAAATGAGCAAGACACTTCATTGTTCTAGAAAATGTAACATCAGGTCGCAAAACATTAACAATTATTTACAATTTACAAATTCTAATGCTTGAGGGCAAATATATAAAATTAGTCTATCAGTATTATTACAGGTATTAATATAGTGTAACGCGCATAGAGCTTGCTGTCAAACGAAGATATACGCTATACAAATGCTTTTTTTAAATACATATTTTCACATGTATTAAATTTTTTAAGCCTTTATACACCAACGAAACATGCCTGCACTTAAAGTTTTGTCTACCTGACTTATCTGAGCTTAAAGTTGGTTCAACGAAAGGTCAAAGAAAAAAGTAGGAGAAAAAACAGATCAAACATTATTATTTTGATCTTAAAAAATCGAACAGGTAGTCGCCACACAAAATCTGAATCCACTTAGAAAGATGAGACCACAGTAATAGTCACTATTGATATACATTAGTTCAATGTAATCTGATCCGTGGCTCTTGACTTTTGAAAAAAGAGGACATTGACATTGTACTTCAGAGACATTGTGGTTAATAACTCAAGGCCAGAAAAACATGTTGTTTGCGAAAACTACTCATTTATTGTTGTTTTCAAAATGTGCTGAAAGTCTTGACAAGGTTCAAAATTTGCTATCTACTATCTATCTATCTGTCTATCTATCTATCTGTCCGTCTATATGTGAGTGTGTACTGTGTGCGCTTGTTTATGTATGTGTGTACAAGTAATAGTATGTGTGCATGTCTTTGAATGTGCCTGCGCGTGTATGTATGCGTATGTGTGAGTATGTGTGTGTGTATGTACGTGTATGTGTGTGTGTGTGTGTGTGTATGTGTGTGTATGTGTGTGTATTTGTGTGCGTATGTGTGTGTGTGTGCATCTGTGTGTGTGTGTGTGTGTGTGTGTCTACACAAGATACCGCGGTGGTGGGGAAAAGAAGTATTTGTGGTTTAAAAAGAAAAATAACTTATCGTCTTGAAAAGGGTTATGTACTTCCATTGTTTGCTTCTTTTGCTATACTACGTTTTCCGTCACCTTATAATTCCCTCAAGAAAAGACGGTAACGGGCTGTAAAGTGACAGAGTGGAATTAATTTAAGTTACAGATAGTTTTAGGATTTACATTAAAGAAAAGGCCATATTGAATCAGAGCATTCAAGGGCTTCCCCGAATGTGTACACGCAAAGAAACTGGAAACGATCAAAACGGAGATCGCAGGGTGTGGTTGTGGACTTATAATGTTTGCGATACCAAGGTTCGCTGCACTCAAAAGAAAAGTCTCTGAAAATCTTTCATTCCTTCATAACTTTCAATGTCTGCTTGGGAAGTAGTTCGTCTAATAACAGCACGTGTTTGCTCAGAGAGAAGAGGATACCGATGAAAAAGACTTGCCCAATTCCTTTACAAATTAGAGACCTAGAGGTCGGGGATTTAAAAATTTTTTTTGGGTTGGTTTTACTTTCTTTTCTTTTCTTTTGTGAAAAAAGAGGGGAGGGCGTGGGGAGTTGAGGGCGAGGTGCTACACTGGTGCAGTAATACTATTGTTATGGGCTTTGAAACTGAAATGATCAGTAAAATCAGGGCGTTCACGTTGAAGCACTTATGGTCACCAAGGAGTGGGCGTTATAGAAGTTTGTTTGTTTGTTTGTTTTAGTAATGTTTTACTGCGCTCGCAACTGCATAAGGTCATATGAGCGCCAAGGGACGGATGTCAACAGAAAAGTCCAAACGGGAAATCAGGCTCACACTGCTGCTCACCTCTCTGGCCTCAACAGCACAAGTCCACAAAATCTGCATCGACTATCAAGGCACCCCGGAAACAGCAGTTCACAAGAGGGTGATAAATATGCAAAAGATGTAAAGGCAAAATGACGATAGTAAGGAGGAGGAAAGAAAAAGCAGCAGCAGTTTCCCTTATGTTGTTCCGGCACAATAATATGAGCATGACATTGATAAATCTGCCCATTCTACTGTGCATAAGAACAGGTT